GGGGGAAGTGTTTTTATTTTTATTTATCGTTCGGTGTTGGATATTTGTATTGCAGTCTGACTAGTTCATATTCACCTATAGCAATTATTTGTTTCATATTCAAAATTCGAATCTGTGAACTTTAGAAAAGTGTGTCTGAAGGTGAGTGAGGGGTGGGGTTTATATAATGTTCATAATCGAGACTTTTAACAAAGGTTGAAAGAATCTTATTCGTTTCACTATAATTTATGATGAAGTTTGAGATTCAAACATTGGAAAGCAAAAAATTGTGTTGGAACCATCACGATCGAAGATAGACGCAACAATTAACATGTGAATTTAATTAAATTGTAATTTGATATCGAACATCGTTGAAAAAAAATCATGTTTTTCCTTCTTTCGAAATATGACTCATTGATTAGGAAAAGGACTAGACATCCACCGACAGTTTATTGGACCCATTTTTTTTTAAAAAAAAACTTTAATGTGGAATTGATTGATCTTTAATAGTATTTGATATTTTTTCTCCAACGATAAAGTTTGAATTATTTAACATTTTTGAATTTTTATAAGGATTTAATAATACTATTCAACTTTGTTTTATATGAAAGTTTGAATTATTTAACATTTTTGAATTTTTGATTAATTCATTCAAAAGTTAAAAGGAAACATAATAATTTCTAAATCTCAATCATGTGAATAAAACCATATATAATAAACAAATAACAAATCCACATGAACAACTTGTAATTCTTGGGGGAAAAAAAATTAGCTCACACATGTGAGTATCAAACCCCATTTTTAAAAATAATGTCTATATTGAACTATTCTATTGATATTTGTTAATTTTTACTAACAAATATATTAGGTAAAATCTTCGATAATTTTGATCCTCGTGATCGTTTAAAACTATATATTAGATTCATGTGAAAAATTATCTAGAGATTTTTATGATGTAAACTTCAGCTCTGATTTTCGAGTATAAGGAATGACTTAGTTTACACGTATATTTTTATTGATATACATCATGATAAGAAAGTAGAGTACAATGGAAGAACCAAATAATTCTATATACACTATATCAATTAATAATTAGTTGGAATTAAGGTTTGACTATATAGATGTATCTATTTTAATTTTAACGTGCGTTAGAGACATCGTTAAAGAATATATATAGAAACCTCGATGATAGAAACATAGTTTATTTTTTGTATATCCATTCTTAACTCTAATTAAACTTACTTATCCAACTAATTTGCCAATTGGTAACTAATTAACATCTAATTAGTCATGACTATTGACTAATTAAGAGTCAAATCATATAAATTAAAGTGTTAATTAGTTCATCATATTTCATTAGTTGTAAACTATACCCATTAAAATAAATGATCCAAATTCTTAATAAGTTTTGTAATAATCCATCGCTAAATAAAATTAAAGATAACAATTTTACTATTTAACTATAAAATTTATCCATTTTTTTTTCAAAAAGTAGCTAATCTCTATCTTAACCTCAATATATTCTGTAGTACAATTTTTTAGTTTGTAACATAATGAAATTTAGTAGTGAGAATGGAATAAAATATGTCATATTAGAAGTGATGTTTCTAGAAATGAATTTTGTAATGTATAAATTTAAATTTAATTGAATTTTAATATTAACTGAACGAGAAATTAAAAAGTAAATAAATTGAAACGTGTGAACTACTTACATTTTAATAGCATTTTCTTATTTTATAGATTAAATCGTTATAATATTTTTTTATTGTTCAACCAAATAAAAAGCAGGAAAACATTCTTTTTAAAAAATAATTTTTTATTATATATATATATATATATATTAAACTTTTTATGAATTTTTTTTTCCACAAAAATGACATGCCATCAACTAAACATATTTAATATTTTCTTTAATCAATTACGTAATAAAATATCGATAGGACATCATGCAAGACACTCTATTTGATGAAGGATTTTTTAATATTCCTTCAATTTTAAAATATTTCTCGTTCACTTTTATTTGTTACGTTTCATTCATCGAAATGACATTTTAGTAAACATAGTGCTTACAAGTAATTAAGGATAATAATATATTTTAAAGTATAGCTAGCTTATTAATATAACTTAACATTTATAAATATTTCATAATATGAATGTATAAATATTATCAATACATTTAAGTATTACGTGAATTTATGTGAAATGATACATTTAAACAGTTTCATGTTACATACATATACTCAGTCTCCTAACACTGCAAAAGAAATATCATAATTTTATTTTCCTTCAACATACAATCATTTACAATAGAGTAATTAATTCAAATGTAAAGTGATTATCCCTCTGTTAATTTTTACTTATTCATTTTAAATTTTACATGGCGAGAACTAAAATTAATATGAGAATATAATTCATATAATGGATTTATTAATTGACAAATAATATTGCGTCTTGATAAATAATTTGGGAATAAGCCATTAATGTTGAGTATAAAATAGAAAAATAATAATGATTTTTTCTTCATATAATTAAAGTAATAAGTGTGTGTATATATATATTTCAAATAATTGACAAATAAAATAAAACGTCAGAGTAATATATTAATTTCAGCAATTTATAAGTAATACATAATTTTTACTCATAAAACGCTATTACGGAACTCGATTTATGTATAAAGACTAGCGGCAGTATCGTAATTTCTACAATTTGTAAGAAAAATATAATTTTACTCATAAAACGCTATCACCGAACAATATTTATGTGTAAAGAGTAGTGGCAATATCGTAATTTCAACAATTTGTAAGAAAAAATAATTGTACTCATAAAACGATATCACTGAACGCGATTTATGCATAATAACTAGTGACAATATCGTAATTTTAATAATTTATAATAAAAATATAATTTTTACTCATAAAACGCTATGTAGAAAAAAATATCATTTGTAAATCTTAATCTTTCTCAATACTTTCTACTAAAATAAAGTAAGATGTTATTCGTGCTTGTTATGTTGTGATTGGGCCTAGAGATTTAGCCCATGTTTTTTTGGAATAGAAAACATCAATAAAATTGTTTTTGTGAGATATGAATCTAAAATTTATTAAATTTTTTTAATTATAAAATTTATATTTTGAAAAAAATTCTATAGATATTCATAAGTGTTTATTATATAGATAGTCACATTGTACACAATAGTGTATATTGAAACATGCATGAACATTTACATCTTATTGAAGTTGACGTGTATAATTAAAGAAACTATCGCAACGTCTTTCTCTCTCAACGTACAATGTATTTACATTTGATTAATTAATGCAAAATGTAATTGATTAATAAAGAAACTCAAAAATAAATAAGAAAACAACAACCCATTATTGTGAACATTACTCTTCATCACCTAAATAGCATAGTTTTTAAAAATATGGCAAGGTTTTGTGGCTTCTACAACATGGTGGCAATGTTGGTTATTATGAGTGGGGCCCTCGCGTTGGGCCGGGGTTGTTGCCATGATAATCCCGTTGTCCAACCGCTTAAGCCCCACCGTCATCTCTATCATACAACTATCGCTGCTCCTGATGGATTGTTTTTTAAGGGATTATCGCAGAAAACTAAAAATTATGTAGATAATTGTACTAACAACATTTCACAATCTTGTGGTCCAGAAATCGTTACGACCCTATTTAAGTATAAAAATATCACATCCAATTGTTGTAAAGAGCTTGTTCAAAGTGGTCTTGAATGTCATGCTACTTTGGTTAAACTTCTCATTCGTTTGCCACAATATGAGAAGAAATCTAAATCAATTTTGGCAAATAGCATTAAAGTTTTTGATAGTTGTGTAGACACCATCTTAAAAAAAATCCTTAGTGAAAAATTAGTTTAAAAAAATAATATCATTTTTAATAATACAATACGATAAATTATGATTTTTAACTCTTGTAATTTTCGATCAGATATATTTAATCTACAATCAATTGATATATACATTTTCGTTTTGGTTTCTTTGATGGTAAGTCTTCAAAATATAATGACTTATGAAGTGTTAAACCATTCATAAAAGTAAAATCAAACCATACTTATTTTCAATTTTTTGATATTTTGGGGGCATAATTTAATACAAATTCAATCTATTATAGAAAGCTATTTTAAGAAATGAATGTATGTTGTTCAACAATGGAATTTTATTTATAATATATTGATATATTATTATGTGAGACAATTTCTAGGTGATACATTATAATTATACCTTTTCATTAATCTACCATACGTTTATACTATGTACTTTCAAGTCTAATCAAATTTAATAACTTTAAAAAATAAATACATTTTTAATTTTATTGCAAAAGTCAATATAAAACTCAAGCAATAACATCCTTGATTTATTTTAAAAGGTGTATGAGCCTAAAAAATCGATTAATCTTGTTATAAAGTAAATATATGTATATATTGCTCGCTTAATCTTGTGATAAAATAAATGTATTATGTATCGCTTTAGTTCAATATTTTTCTTATCCAACATCAAACCTAATCCATTATACGTGATTTTAAATTAATATAATCAATATTTTAGTTTGATCCGATAAATTCAATTTCCTTTCAATACTTCCTAATCGTGACGCCTATTCTTATCCCTAAATTTCTCCTTCGGTTAGACATACCCTATCTTGATTCGATAAATATTTAGCAAATACCCTCTATTTATTTATTTAAAATAAGATAAATAAGAGTGGCGCCATATCACATATACTATAACTATACTTTTGGGAAATAAAAGTTTGTAAAAAAAGAAAAACTAACGCTCTATATTCAATAGTGTAACATTAATATTCTAGAGATTTAATTGTAACTTAAAAGTTCATTAATTTAATAACCAAATGTTATTAAAAGTCATAAAGATAACATTGTTATAACATAAAAATAAATAATCTTAATTCACTCTATATAAATATCAACTTTTTGAAGGGGAATAAAATACAAATTAAATCAACATCACAACACACACACAAAAAGAATAAATCAAAATGGCAAGACTCAATATCCTCTCATCCTTTATAACAATTTTGATAATTTCTAATGCAATTCCTTCACTTTGCAAATCTCATCATCACAAAAATCACCCTCCACCAACAATTTCACCTTCACAAAAAGAAGAAAATGCACATGAAAAATACATAAATAGTTTACCAAAAAAGTTGATAGAATATTTAGAGAATTGTACCAAGTATTTGCCTAATAAGTGTGGTATAAAAGTTCTAAATGCTACACTTCATGACAATGAAGATATTGACAAGAAATGTTGTCATGATCTTGTTGGAATGGGATTAAAGTGTTACAAAACTTTGATAAAAGTTTATATTGGTTTGCCTAAGGTTAAAGATAAGATTGATTCTAAAGTTGTTAAGTCTAATGTTAGTAAAGTTTTTAAGAGATGTGTTGCTCTTGACAAGAAGAAGAATAAGAAGGAGAAGGAGGAGAATCCTTTTACCTTTTCACCTCCGTTACTACCATGAGTTTAAGCGGAGAGACAGATTCAAGATTTAGAATAATAATAATGATCGTACCAGAATAATTTTAATATGTTTGTGTTTTGTTTTTCTTTTATTCTGCATATGTGTAAGTTGAGTTTGTTGTTTAATGTGTAATAAATTCAACAACAACAAAGAAGGACCATTTTGCCCTTTCACCTCCAAAACTTGGGTAAATTCTAAGCCGAATTCAAGATTTAAAAAATCACAATGAAAACATAATTTTATTTACATTTTTTTTTAGTTCTCTTCTATTTTGTATTGGTATATAAGTTGAGTTTACCGAACTCATTTCAAATATTCCTCAAACTTTTAAAGATTTTTTTCTTGATATGTAATAATTTCAACAAAGGAGTCAAACAAGAAGAAGATCTATTTAAAATAACAACAAATGTATAATAATTTCAACAAATTTAGAGTTATGATGATATATTTAAAATAACAATAAAAGTGCTATATATATATTTTTTTTAATAATATAAAATCAATTAATCAAAATAATAATACGATGCTCAATTCACTATATGACGTCCTTTCTCGTAAAATAATTTGGAAGTCACGCAAAAAAATAACTTTAGGCTAAATTTATTTAAACGGAAAAAGAGCGAAACAAAAGGGGGTAAAGAGCAAAAATGAGCAGAGTGCTTTGTAAATCACTCATTCCTTCATTACTTTCTTCTTCTTCTTCTTCTTCCATTTCTGCTCAGTTCAGATTCAAATACTTTTCAACTTCTTCGTCTTCATCATCTCCTAGGGTTTCTCGTATGGCTACCGAAGCTTCATCTTCATCGTCGTCATCTGCATCTCCGTCTCCTTCCTCTGCCATCGATTTTTTAACACTTTGTCACCGCCTCAAGGTAAGTCGCGCTCTGTTTTTGATTTTTTATTTTTGTGTTTTGAGTGTGATTGGAAGATGATGAATGTTTTTGTGTGTATGAGGAGTTGAGGATAGTAGTGTGTAGTAGTTAGGTGTGAGTTGTACTATGAGCATCGGGAGTTGTACTAAGTTCTAATTGCATTGGATTTTGCTTTTTTTTTTTTGTATTTGCATTTGTTCTATTTCAGTTTGTAGTGATGAATGTTTTGTGTATGAGTAATGAAATTGTGATGTATGAGGATTTTAGTGTGTTGGAGTTTGATGAGAGAGAGTTGGACTTTGTGCATCAGGCGTTGTACTAAGCATCACTTCACTACTTACTTGTATTTGATTTTGCTTTTTCTATTTGCGTTTTATCTATTTCAGTTTGGTTAGTGTCTAATGCAGCAGCTTGTTATGATGAATGTTTTTGTGTATGAGTTATGAAATTGTGATTTGTGAGGATTGTAGTGTATTGTGGTTTGCTGAGAGTTGTACTATGTGCATTGCGTGCGCCGTGCAGCGTGTTGTACTACCTTCTACTTGCATTGGATTTTACTTTTCTTGTATTTGCATTTTCTCTATTTCAGTTTCTGTAGTATATAATGCATCAGCTTGAAATGATGAATGTTTTCTGTATGAGTTATGAGATTGTGATGTGTGAGGATCGTAGAGTGTTGTGGTTTGCTGAGAGTTGTACTATGTGCATTGCATGCGCCGTGCAGCGTGTTGTACTACCTTCTACTTGCGTTGAATTTTACTTTTCTTGTATTTGCATTTTCTCTATTTCAGTTTGTGTAGTATCTAATGCATCAGCTTGTAATGATGAATGTTTTGGTGTAATGGTAGGCGAGTATTCTGGTGTGTAGTTTTCAGAGAGAGTTGTACTTTGTGCATTATGTATTGTATTAAGCTCTACTTGTATTGGATTTTGCTTTGTGTTCGCATTTGCTCTATTTCAGATTGTTTGGTATATAATGCAACAGTTTGTACAATGCTAAATGCAGTCGTTGTCTATTTTATGCTTTCCTTTTTCAAATTATGCTTTTACTACATGGATGTTTTGCATATGAATATGGATCGTGATATATGAGGATTGTAGTGTGTGTTGTTTCCAGAGACTTGTACGCTGTGCATCATACCACACTCTACTTGCATTGCGTAAGAGAATATATGTGTATCTTTAAAACATCACTGTGTTGTGTTAATTGCCTATAGCAAATTCTAGTTATATGCTTACAACCTCACATAACCATTCTTTTCATACTGTGTTTTTGATAAGTGATAAGGTAGTTATAAAGAGGGATAAACAGTAAGCTATTGCATCGAAACATAGTTATAAGTTCTGCAACATTCGTTTTATATTGTTATATTTTCCCATGTTATCTCTCTGTTCCATTGTCATCTTTTATGCACTCTGACTAAAATTTGAGTTTGATGACGTGATCAGACGACAAAAAGAGAAGGTTGGGTACGTAGAGGGGTTAATAATCCTGAGTCTATAGCTGATCACATGTACCGTATGGGAGTAATGGCTCTTATTGCTGCTGACCTTCCTGGAGTTGATCGTGACAAGTAAGTGTTTTTGTTAGTTGACATTTGTGCCTTAGCTTTTATGCACTTGGTACATTCCTGTAGTACTGTGTTTCCTTCCAGTAAACATAAGGATTCTTATAAAATGATGATGTACTGTTTTTTCTTTTTTCCAATTTTAGGTGTGTTAAGATGGCAATTGTGCATGACATTGCAGAAGGTGAGTCTGTCACATATGAGTATTCCCTATGCAAATTCTTTTTTCTGTTGGGATTCTTCTCTGTATATTTGGTTGTACGTGTATCAATTATATTTCTGTGTTATTACAAGCTTTATGGAACAAGATTTAATGAAGAGTAAAAAGTATGGTATAAAAAATGATGAATTACTTATAATCACATAAACTTATCACATCTTATAATTTGGAAAAATATTTTAAGGTTTCCCTTTGGTATTACTTCCTCAGATAATGGCATTGACTATTGATCTACAAACTTTATCAGACCTGAATTACATCATTTTTTTTTTCTCTACCTGACAAAGATGAATTAAGACTTATCTGAAATCATTCATATGAAGCTTGTTTGCAGTGACAAAACTGCTAACAATTATGAACTCACAGTGTGTCTTAGTATTTGGTTTAGGTACTTGTATTCCTTTTCTTTTACCTAATTTTATTATATTTGAGGAATTTGCGTGATTTACCCTCTACCTAGCTAGTTACAACCATTCTAGACAGTTACATCTATGTAAATGAGTGATCCAGTAACATTGGTTTTTAATTAGATAAATGGAAAAGTAATAAGTTTTATGGTTTTAGAGGACTTGTTAAAAAATATTAGTAGAGGTTGTATGAAATTTAACTTCAATGAGAAGAACATAGAACAGCCGTTAGAACATGAACTTGAAATAATCTGTCTATTCACATAATCAATCATTTTCACTTATGAATACTTCCACTCAAATGATCTTCGCTAGGACCAGTGTCTTGTATAGACTCAGTAGGACAAACCATCTGTGTCTTTCGTCTTCAAATCCCGAGTACTTTTTCACTTGAAAAATTTGATAGCTTCTTATTAATTTGCTTCATCAAATATTTTCTTGTGTTCCTACTGAACAGCAATTGTTGGAGATATCACTCCTGCTGATGGGGTTCCAAAGGACGAAAAGAGTAGACGAGAGCGAGCAGCACTAGAAGACATGTGTAAACTTTTAGGTGGAGGATCCCGAGGTATTGCTTCTCTTCTCCGTTAAATTCTTGTGAACTAATATATATTATGAAAGATTGAGCTTCGATCTATTCTCATGCTTGATTATTTTCGTTGGGCAATTGCAGCCAAGGAAATCAGTGATTTATGGATGGAATATGAAGAAAATTCTTCTTTAGAAGCCAAAGTTGTGAAGGACTTCGACAAGGTATTGTTTCTCTATAAAATTGCTATCCACGGGTGACTGAAGGATGTCCATTCTATTGCTCAGTTGCTGTGATGTAATGCTATCTGTGATAGTTATCTCTTCCGTTAACTTTATTCAATGCTCTCCTCTTGACTGATATTTTTCTTTTAGGTGGAGATGATACTTCAGGCATTGGAATATGAAAATGGTAACTTCTTGTTTCTCTCTTTTCCCCTGGATTTCGGATGTACACTGGATATATTGTACCCCCTTTGTTCCAATTTGTATAATACTTATTTTTTTTAGTTTTTCCAAAAGAGGATGCCACTTTTCTGTATTTTGTAAATCTTATAGCCATAAGAATATCATGGCATATTTAAGGCCGCAGGTTCTAGCACATTGTTGTTTTTGATGACCTTCTAGTGCACTATTGGCATGTGCCAAAAGTCTTCCTTTACATCTTAAACTCTATGCCCAGTTTCTGAACTTATTTGTCATACTGCATCCTTCAGCATGAGAAATATACACACCATGGTAATACCTTTGGAATTTAATGATTGTGCTATTACATTGTAGGACCTATCTTGAGAATTAATCGAGACACACATATCTTAACATTCAAACAAAACTTATATTTACTTGATTCAATTTATACTTTTTAAGTTTTACCTTCCTAAACATTCAGAAAATGAAAATACAATAATCTGTTATTGTAATAAGTACTGATTTTCGGCTGTAAGTTGTTCGTTTCTTGATGTATGGACTGGTTCCCTAGTACCATGAGAAGTTGCATTTAATTTTTTTTTTGAGCTAATGTTACTTATCTTTGTAATGCAGAGCAAGGGAAGGATTTGGAAGAATTTTTCCAGTCAACTGCAGGTGCCACGTTAAACATTTTTATTATTCAACCACAATTCAAGTCTTAAAGTTTTAAAATTCTACTCATTCTATTTTTTGTGCTGCCCTTTATGTAGTCTGGACCTTTGTTCCTTCTAGCTCCATCATAACCTGCTATTGCCTTGCTGTTCCAAATATGTTTATAGTGCATCTCGTCTGAGATTGCCAAGTTAGTGGTTAAACGTTGAGCTTGAATTTATTCTCTGAAACTCTTGACATTTATATGTTGATTCATCGAAACGATTAGTGAATAACACTAGTCTTTTTGATTGGACAATCAAGTTGTTGGAAGTTGGTATTGAAC